CCTTATCTTTGACAAAGGTGCCAAACATGCTCACTGGAAGAAACATAGCCTCTTTAACAAATGGTGCTGAAAAAACTGGCTTTCCACATGCCAAAAGATAAAATCATGCTCAGTCTATCATCAGGCACTAAACTATAGCCAAAATGGATCAAAAATTTAAATATTAAAGCAGAAACACTAAATCTTCTAGAGGAAAATATAGATAGAAATCTGAGAGACATAGAGGTAGGTAGAGTTCATGAACAAAAACCAAACTGCACAGGAAATACTTCAAATAACCAACAACTGGGATCTCATCTTTTTGCAAAGTTTCTGCACTTCAAAACAAATCTCCAACAGAGTAAGAAGAAAACCCACAAACTGGGAAAATATTACAGCAAACTGTCCCTCTGAGAAAGGCCTTCTATCTAGAACTTACAATTTTTAAAAACCAGGAACCCCCAAATTCAAAGACCCAATCGGAAAATGGCCATCTGAGATGAATACACACTTTTCAGAGGAAGAAACACAAATAGCAAGTAAATATATGAAAAAATGTTCAGCATCTCTGGTCATTTGGGAAATGCAAATTAAAACAACATTAGGATACCCTCTCACCCCAGAAAGAATGCTAACATCAAGAGGTCAACCAATAACAACTGCTAGAGGGGCTGTGGAGAAAAATGAACGTTTCTGCCCTGTTGGTGGGAGTGTAGAATGGTACAACCACTATGGAAATCAGTGTGGAGATGCCTTAAAAAGGTAGGATTGGAGACCTCACTTAAGCCAGCTTTTCTCCTCCTGGATATTTTCCTAGAAGAACTGATAACCTCAAACCACTGTGATACATGTGCACCCATATTCATAGTTTAGCAATTTGTCATAGCTAAATCCTGAAAACAACCCAGATGCCCATCAACTGAGAAATGGATAAAGGTGATGTGGTATTTTTACACAATGAAGTATTTTTATTTATTTACTTATTTTTTTACAATGGAGTATTATTCAGCTATAAAACAGGATAAATTTACGTCTTTTGTCAGTAAATAGATGCAGCTAAAGAACATACTCTTAAGTGAAATAAATCAGACCCACATGCACAAACATCACATTGTCTCTTTAGTGTGAGCACCTGAAAGAGAAAATGGAATCTGAAAGGTACAATAGACACTGGTTAAGGGAATGAAATTATTCAAAATGAAAGAGTTACTAAGTTGAGGAGAAATATAGGAGAGGGAGTGGGGGAAAGAGGTTTATCTATGTATGTAAGCAAGATGGTTTGGACAACTGTACTGTGCATTTCTGCTGGTCTATGGAAAAAAGCAGATAATGTTTCATTTGTTTTGTCTCTTTTTAAAATTGTTTCTCCTTGTTCTCTTCTTAATTTCTTATATATTTATTTTTTTTCTTTTGATTTTGCATGCATATATCTGGTAATATGAATAACTGGTTGGAAGACAACACTATGTATTACAACAAATCCTGTGAAATTCATATTACTTTGTTAAATGAAATTCTGTATCACTTGTAATTTTTGTTTTAATACTGTTTTGTACTCTCTCTCTCTCTCTCTCTCTAAAATTAAAAAAATATTGCTTGATTTACTGGATCCTTTTCTCAGGCTGTCTGTGCTTTAGGTTGGAGACAGAGTAGATTTTAGAGGCTGGAGGCCAAACATTGCCTGGCTATAGAGATGGCTAGTAGCTCTGGCTGTTGACTTCCTTACCATTGCAGCTTCCAGAGCTGTCCTACCAGGAAAGAAATTTTGTAGTCAAGTTTAGGAAATGCTGCATAGTATAGGGGCTTTTTAAAGAAGACTGAGAAAGGCAATGGGAAAAGGTTTATCCCAATTTGTTCTACACTTACTTAACCATGAAACTATTTACATTAATTCTATTAGCACCTCATTAGAATCATCAGTTACTTTAAGAACAGCCTGGTCATCAGCCACCAAAGTGTACCTTGCAGCAGATGATTTGTGCGCCCCCTGCTGGCTTTATTTGGCATGGGGTCCCTTAGCCTGT